AACAACACAACACAACACACCCCCACATTTCCATATCTCATTTTCAATGTCCATCGTTTTTTTTCTATTTCAAAAAAAAAAAAAAAAAATATTCAATAAATTCATCTTTATAAAGCAAAAAATTAGGGAAAAAGAAAAACGAAATAAAGTCTTTAAGATCAATTTATGGGCTGCCATGATGTATGTTTGATGTCTGGTATAAGGTGTGTGTATGTTTGTATACAAATAATTCATTTCTTTCATCCTAATAATAACATTATTATCATAGAATCATTGTTCGTAACGAAGAAGAAAAAAAATCAAAATTTTTTTCCAGAAAAATGTTCCAAAATTTTTGATTTTGTTGAACAAAATTGAAGTTTTATCATTCAAAAAGTACATTGAGTTTCGTTTTTGGGTTTCGTTCGAACAAGCAAAAAAAATTCGTAATTTTTGAAAAACCAAATGTCTTTTTTTTCAAAAAAAAATGTGACAAGTGATTAGTGTCGTTCTCCCTGTTGAGAAACCACAAGTTATAAATGAGGTGCTATTAGTTTGCTAAATGGTTGTCCATTGTGTCAAATTTTATTTTTTATTTTTCTTGTTGTTCCCTAATAGCTAATGAATGATGTTGTTTGATTCATTCAACAGCTAAAATCTCAATGGGTGTCGATATCGTTGTCGTTGTTGTTGTTGCGCCCGTTAATATATATTTGCGTGATGTGGTTCCCGAACCAAGGACAACCAACCAGGCCTATCATTATAGCTATCATTATTGTATTAAAGTAGTCATTATTCTCTTTTAATTGATTGTATCATCATCATCAAATGAGAGGAAAAAAATTCAATCGAAACAATAGAATCTATTCGTCGACAATGATGCCAAAGAAAATTAATGATCATTTTATTTTTTCGAGCAAAGAAAGAAAACTAAAAATAAAACCAAACTATAGGAAAAAGAAAATAACAAAAATAAACATGAGGAAGAAAAATGAAACCAACACGTACAAACAAACAAATAAACAAACAAAAGTTTATCAAAATAAACTAAGAAAATAAAGCATCCATCCATTTTCTTTCGCATTTTCTATAAATCTATACCATAGATTTGGAACGAAAGAAAAATTGGAAATCAAACAAAAACTCAAATCGAATAATCAATCTTACCAACAACAGAAACAAAAAAGTATTATTTTCAAATAATTATCTATACTTTTATCATTAACAACATTTGATATTTTGGATAGCCAAACACAAGTATGAATCAAGGCAAATCAATTAACCGAATAGAGTAAAAAAAAAATATTTGATGTTATAGAAAAAAAAAGTAATAATAATTTTCTATTTTATTTCAATGCAAAGAATAATATGGACTGAATACAACAAGATACCAACCAAACCAACGCCAATACAAACATATAGAATCTAATAAATAAATATATAGACATGATTCTGGAACATAGATGGATGTAACAAACAAACAAACAAACAAACAAGCAAAAGATAGAAGGAGAGAAAAAACTGAAAACGAAGACAGTGAACGGAAAAAAAGCTCGTTACGCTAAGCCGCTTATCAGTATGGAGACCAAAAATATAACAAAAAAAAATTGGTTCCAAAAAGAAAGAGACCATAGAATGTTATAATACAAAAAAAATAAAAATAAATAAATTCATTCTGACTAAAATGAATTGAACAACATTCACAATGAATGAAAAAAATAACTTGAAATAAAACAGGAAAAATGGAGCAAAAATTTTTTTGTATCTATATTCTGTTTACCTTCATTATCATCATCACGACATTCAATTTTTGTTTTTGTTTTGTTCAGTTTTTTTTGGCTACCAAATCATTTCAACATAACTGAATGTTCATCATCACTTGAATTTGGCAAACATAAACACCCACATTTTTAAATAGATACATTCAATGTTTCGTGAAATTTTTCTATATAATTTTATTGTATTTCCAAAAAAAAAACAGATGAATGAATATAGAATTGGAACAATCTAATGTAATATAGAGTTTGGGTATTTGAAAGAAAGATATGCACAAACACACACAATATAATGGGAAAAAATAATGGCGAATACACACACACACACACACACACACATAATATTACATAGAATTGGAATCTAATAGGAACCAAATTACATAGTCAACAATAACAATCTTTTTTTTTGGGAATCCACAATAATGTTTAACAACAATGATGAAACAAGTTGAAGTTTTTTTTTCTTTGCCAAAAAAAAAAGATAGAAGCCATTAGATGTTACCAGAAAAAAATGATGATATACTGAAATACTGAAACGTTTTTTCGTTTGAAATTGTATTGTGCCAATAGTAACAATGAATGTGTAATATAACAAATGATAAAGTACAATAGAATAGAAAAGAAAAAAATCCATGAAACTATTATAAATAAAAGACTGAATATTCTACAATGAAGAAAAAGAGAGAAAAAAAATCGAATGAAAAAATCCCTATTTCTCTAATCAGGACCGATGCAGAACTTTATGATTTTCGCTTTTATTATTCATTCGTATGTATATGTGAAAAGCTTTGTGAAACTTGTAATCATGATGATGATGATGAGCCAGACATGACACAAAATGAATGTTCCAGAAAAAAAAACAGTAAAGCTTTAAGCTCACCTCATCACCCTTGATTTCAATGATGATGATTATTATTATTAAAAGTTTTCTATTACATTCTTTTATGTTATTGTGTAGAATCGGTAAAAATGGACAGATAAACAATGAACGGAGAAAAATACCGAATCAAATCATCAGTCCTTTATAGGAAGAATATTTAATCGGGTTTTAGTTCTATTTTGATAATGAAGTTTCAATTCTATAACAATCATCATCATCATAATAATCAATAGATATTTGCTATACACGAAGGACTATATACCGAGAAAAATAATTAATATTGTCAAGAATTCAAACAATAAAGTAGAGAATTGAATTCAAATTTTTAGAATCACAGTACTGTATATAGATACTTGAAATAAAATGAAATTTGATATTCATCATCGTTGTGATTCAATTCTATGATGAATTTTACTCTTTTTTTTTGGTTGTTAAAAACAACAACAAAAATAAGTCGATGTGAAAGTTGAATTCAATACATAGAATAAACTTTTTTGTTCTCAATTCCCAATAGTAACTATTTTTGGCTACATTTTTTTGAAAAAAAAACTATGGGACAAGGCACAAAAAAAATTTGATGCCAAAAAGCATCACAATCAGATTCAGTGGAAAAAAATGCTCGAGGCAAATTCAATTGGCACTTGAAAATAGCAAATTTTTTTTTCTCCACCATATCGTAATTCATTGTTCAATGTTTTATTTTTATCAGCTAAAATATATAAAAATCCAAATGTTGTAATAAAAAACAAATTAATCATAACATGACGTTATGTAAAGACACGTTTTTTCACTTCGATGTGTTCTATCATCACGTGTGTGCTTAGAAGAAAAAAAAATATCCTCCAAACAAATGGAATCGATGATGATGATAGCCCAATGTGCAAAGAGACATCCACAGAATTCAAGATTCACACAAATCAAACAACAATAACTAAAATATTTTTCTACACAAAAAAAAAGAATCTGGTAATCTAATTCAAATCAAGTGTCAAACATTCATCAACAATTTATTCAATTCTCATTCATTCATTCATTAAACAATAACAAACAACGATGACAACATCATACATTAAGTTTTAATGTCAACAACAACAGGATTCATATAGAATAATAATAAAAATTTCTCATCATAATTGTCATACAAGAAAATGAATGAATGAATGAATGAATAAATGTCAAAAGTCAACAAGAAATAGAATGAAAACAATGCTCCAGAGACAAACATTGATGGTGCAACATCAACAAAAAAAATTAAATCTTTTCGATGGAAAAAATGGCCTAAAGCCAGGATTTGTTGCTTTTTACTAAACTTAGTTATCATCATCATCATAGTCATCGATACCGTTATGAGAAACATTAAAGTTACACAAGAAAAAAAAACATACAAATACAAATGAGAATAGGAGATTCTCAAGCAAAAATGATGAATTTTTTTAAAATAAGAATCAAAAATGATGATTGCGAATGAAATTCAAAAAGAAAAAGAAAACAAACAAAACTTACCTTCAATAAGCATTAGGTTATGTAATTCAGTTTTCAATTCATCGTATCGACGATTCATGTCAGCTTCTTTTTCCCTAATTAAAAAAAAGAAAGAAATTATAATGAAAAGTAATTAATGGGAATAAGTTTTTGTGAACAACAGAAATTAAGAAAAAAAAAACAATTTAAACAACACTTTTCAAATGAAGAAAAATTGTAGAAAAAGTCACTAATGAATTAATTTGTCATTGATTTGATCATATTCTCATCTCCTTTTAATTTAAAAAAAAAATAAACTATAATTAAAATTCAGTCACACAGATTTGAAATGATTGAAAGAAAACAAATATATAGATTAAATTAACAACCCTTCAAATTTTATTCATTTTGTTGTTGTTTGATAAAGATCATGTTGTTTTGGTGTCGTATCAATATCGTTATCCTAATCATCATCAGCATAATAATTGCCGCTTTCATCATATAATAATCATCATTATGATGCTTTTAATGAGTGTTCAGTGTGTGTGTGTGTTCTGAATTTCTATCTATCTAATTGTTTTGTTTTTTCAATGATGGTGGCTTTTAACCTATGTTATATATCAAACAAACGTTAAATAGAGTATCGGTTTAAAATCAAAAAAGAAGAAAATATATTTATTTATTAGTCAACTAGCCTTAAATATCATAAAAAATCCAACACCGAAACAAACAAACAAACAAACGAAAAATCACAACGTGAAAAGTAATAGATAATTTTATTTTCATTCGAACAAAAAAAAATTTTCCTTTAAATCGGTAAACTGATTGATCAGAGACTATCAAAACATTATCTGAAAATTTTTTTTCAAAGTTTAGAATAGGATAAAAACGATTCACAATATATGTTGAGATTTGTTTTTGCTGTTGTTGTTGTCGACAAAAATACGAATCGATTTTGTTGTTGTTGTTTTTGTTGTTGAAATTATTCCAAATTCGCGTCAAATATCTAAATTACAACTTTGATGCTAACATTGATGATGTTTCTGTATATAAAATTTTGATATCTAAGGTAATTTTATCTTAAGTAATTTAGTTTTGTTTGTTTTGTTAAAAGTCTATCGAAAAAAAAGAATTGCTCTGTATTATTGTGAAAAAAAAGCGCGCGACCATTGTCGTCGACGTCGTCTTTGTCGTAATCAACATCGTTTTTTTATATATTTTGGCGACGACCAATGGCGCCGACAATATCTCATTCTTATCCGACGAACTAGAAAAAAAACCCAATGACCTTAGCTATAGTAATAACAAAAAACATAATTGAATCAATGGATGGACAATCGACAATTCCCATCTTGTTTTTTGTTGTTGTTGTACATTTAATAGCTCAATTTAGATTCAATTTAATTGAAAAGTTATGGCTATTGATATCTACAGATCATCTTGTTGTTGATGATGTATAACCAAAGGTATCAAATCAAAGTCTATAGTGAAATAATAGCTTGTTTTTTTTGTGATATAGCCCATATCATCATCATTATTATCATCAAACAACAAATGAAAAAAAAAGATATAATAATAATAAAAGATTGGAAAAAACAAGAACAACCAACACAGATATTGTACCGAATATTTGATGGAAAAAAAACAAAACGAGTAAAAACAACTACACACACATAGACATCTGATTATCATACGATCAATCAATAGATAACATCAATGATGATGATGATGATATTGACAGGACACACTCTCAGTAAAAAAGATGGCCATCTTGAAATACGAAACTTGATCATCAAGTAAGGTGGCCTATTGGACTTTGACGAAACAAAAAAGCAATTCGAATCATAAGTCGAGTGTCGTTGAATTTTTTTTCAAATTTCCATTTTTTTGATTGACTCGACATACGATTTTTTGACAAATGAACAAAACTAGATTCCATTCTTTTATTGACTATGACCAAAATGAAATAAAGAAAATTAATTTCAACCACCAAACCAAATCGATGACAATGTGTGGTCAGTTTGTTGTCAACACACACACAGAAGCCCAAAATAATAAAAAATAATAATCGATCCCTATTGATTGGTGAACAACAACAGAACAAAAAAAGTTGAAATGAATTTCAATGTCTAAATAGAGAGAGAGAGAGAGAGAGAGAGAGAAAGAGAAAGAATAAAAAGACGATGTCCCTTTTCATCATTCATTCATTCATTCATTCTTATTATCACTAACACAAATTGTGACATACAGGTGACAAGATCATATTCGATTACACTAAAATTTGATTGGCCTGTCACTACTGGGCTTGTCATTCGTCAAATGAAATTTTGAAGAAAAAAAAACCAAATAGGAGTCGTTAAATATGTCAAAAAAAAGTGAATGCTTGACCAAAATGAAGTTCGTCTGGTTGATGATGATGACTTTTCTTAACGAAAATATAATCAAAATAAAAAATTGAAAAAATAAAAAACTAAAATAAATAAACAAATCTAATGGTAATAGACCACCCTGCATTCACAGAAAATGATGAAGGAAAAAAGAAAGAAAGGACCAAACCAATATAATGGTTAGTGATAATAATTTTTTCTGGAGCGAATAATCACTTTTTTTCTGGTTTGTTTGTTTGTTTGTCGCGTCTGTATCAAATAAAAAAAAAATGAAAAACAGCTAGAATCATGAGTAGCGTTTGAAAATATTAACACGTTTGCTATCCGATTACAATGAAAATATTTCAATGTTAAAATTCAATATTGAACCAGAAAAAACGAGTTGTAATCAAATGAAAATCGGAAATATTTCTATTTTTCAAAATCAATCAAACAATAATTAGAAAAAAAAGGTAGGTAGGTAGTGTATTTGTGATCAAACAAAATGAATTTTATTTCCATGTAGTTAATCAACTGAAAATTTTTTTTAGTTGTTGGTCAAAAGTTCAGCCAGAACAAAAAGAAAAACAAGCTGCTACCCAATCAAAAGCTATAGCGAGGTGATTATTATTTGTTACAATTTTTGAATTGGTACATTGGAATTGATATGAAAATTAGAAATATATTTACAGACCTTTTTCATCTACCCTCTTTTCATCATCATTCCAACAAATCACATTTCATTTCATTTGATTCAAACAACATCGATATATTGGATCGAATATGAAACAACATGCTCAATATCACAAACACACACACACACACACACACTCAGCTAGTGATGGACCACCAAGGAGGTATTATTAACTGCTATATTGATAATATAAATTGATTTGGAACAAACAACTGAATGACAACAACCCGAAACCAAATACTGAATACATGGTCCGTTCATACAAACAAATAAACAAACACACCAAGCAATGTTTTGACCACAAACAGTTGAATATATTTGGCCAACAAACAACAAAACAAAACAATGATCCAAAAAAAAAATTGAAAGAATGATTCAAATGTTCTGCATATGTAATCGAAAACTAGCCCCTGTAATTTATATCCAAAGTAAAATTTTCAACAACAAAAAAAAATAAAGGTCAAATTATTAACGCATTCGTGGATCAATTATTCGTTTTTTTGTTGTTGTTGAATGAATAGAGAGAAAAACTTGTGTGATAAATAAATAAATAAAGGTCACGTGTTAATCATCATTATCAAAAACCAAAAAAAAAGGTTATAGGAATGGGTCAAACAACAAACAACAACAACAATCCATCAGTTAGTTGTTTGAAATATACACATCATTTTATATTGAATTTACATAATCATTGAAATCATTCATCATTATCATCATAATGAATAAAATGAAAAATAGTGATGACAATTGATCAATAAATTCTTTTTTCAAAAGAAGGCATGTAAAAAATTTCTTTTAAAAAACAAAAATTCCTTTCTCATTGAAAGTGATGATAAATTTTCTCAAAAAAAGCGAAGCAATTTGAATCGGTAACAAAAAAAGAACAATTTATGATACCACTATTTGGGTCCAGATAATAGACTACAGACAGACAATGAAGATTGGTCAATTTTTTTTTATAAATAATATGGATTTCAAACCTTCTTGTTACAATTTGTATTTAGACTATTAAAAAAAAGAGATAGATAAAGAAAGTAATAAAAAAAGAGTGCCCATCTTTTCTATTGTATTTTTTATTGGGAAACAAAATAAATTATTTCACATAATTGCCGGTATTATATGAATTTTTTCTTTTTAAGAAACATATAAAATCAAGTGAATCAATTAGATGACCTATCTATTTCTGTGTGACAAATTTATTTCAAGTAAGTAATAATCAACACTGTAATAATTTTGTAAATGTTTAATAAATGACCAATGATATAATGATTATGTAAGTAAATGAGAAAACTTCATTCAAAAAAAAATTGGCATTTAAATTATTTGATGAATTCCGATCATCATCATCATCATCAACAACTTCATGAAAGAATTGAATTCAAGATGAAGAAAAAAATCTCAAGAATGCGTAACGTAATTGCAACATAAATGAGATTCTTTTTTCACCGATGATGATAATGATGATGATGAAGATGCTTTCATTGAAAAACAGGAGAGAGAAAAAAAATGTTAATCCAATGATCACAATGAAAAAAAAGAAACCGAATCGAAAAAAAAAATGTTTCAATGTTGTTTTACCATCAACTACACCAACGCAATCATTCATTGAAATTCATTTTTTTCATTTCGTTGTCAATTCCAAAATGATAATCAAAAAAAAAATCGTTGCATGGAAATTAAAATCCAATTAATCTGATTGATCAAAATAATTATCTTTGATTTTCTTTGATTTTTCCCCCATCTTTACTCATTTATTTAATTTTTGATGAAAAAAATATGAAAAATCAAACAAGTGAATGGCCTAAATGAAAAATATAATTTTTTTTTTGTTCCGAAATGATGACCACAAGGTAAAATTTCAAATAGAAAAAAAACGAAGACAAATTAACCAAATATGAATGAGAAAATCAATGGTATTATTTGATCATGTTTGAAGATGAAAAAAACAAAATGAACACAAAAGCTAAAAACAAAATTCATTCAAAATCTGTCATTTTGATGTCCTGTTGTTCATTCGTTCGTTGATCATAGGGTCATTTAGAAGAATTTCAGAAAA